TCTGCTGGGAGGGATGCAGCAGTGGAATTTGGGTGCAAACTGAGGGACAGAAAAACAAAGCTCCATCTTCACAGCTCATGCACGATGCTTTTACAGCTTTGAATATTGCAGTTTGGTTGCACATGCCTCAAAAAAGTCTATGAGCTTTTGGAAGTTATGCATTATAGGATACGAGAAAAGAAATACAACACTACAAACCTGTGTGTTAGGACTTCCCACACATCACAGGAGTTGTCCAAAACAATGAGGTTGCCTTTAAGTTCTCTCATGTGTTCTGAGAGGGGGAAAGGGAAATCTAAAAATAAAAATCTAACAAGAGCAGTCTAAATAGATAGTGTCACAGGTACTTCCTCTTAAAGACCTACATAAAATAGCCATCTTTCTACTAGAAAAAGAATTATTTTAGTAAGAATACTGCCTGTTTAATTACAGGCTTTCAAAAAACCTCCCAAGCACTTTACCTATCTCAGGCTAACATAAGGACTGACTCTTTTTTGTGTATTTGAGTATTGTCTTCATTAGACTTTCTGCCTGGATGCAAAAACAGAGATAGAAAATAAATCAAGGCAAAATGTTGTTTGGCATATTTGAAGGTGAAAATGGGAAATAAATCTGTATGGTTATGCCTTCCCACCCACACATTTCTTTGAGATACACAACTATACTGGAGGTTTTTTCTTTCAAAATTAAAATAGACAGGTTTTTTCTCCTCATTTTTTAATTGTATGAAAGATGAAATAGCTGCTTATCCAGAAAGATACCAAGTATCAGACTTGGTAAAATAAGCTTATCACAAGTGAGCAACAGGGAAGGCAATGTATTTTTGCTTGACTTTGTAATCCTCTTTCCTCTCTGTGTCCCACCTCCCTTCCATCAGCTGCTTTAAATATTCACTCCACTTATACAAATACATCAACAGTTATACTAGTTAATGGTTCCAGGCTTCCAAGTAAAGCTCATACTGTATACAATCGAAAAGCTCAAGCAGAAAGAAAAAAATATACAGCTGATGTTTCTGATAGTCCAAAAAAAAAAAAAAAAAAAGAGAAAAGCAAAGTAAACCCAAACAAATTCTGAAATGCTTTCTCAGAATTAGAAAGCATTAAAACCTACTCAAGTCCTTTCTAGGTCACCTTGAAAGCCAGTAGATAACCAGGTAAACCCCTGACTGACTTTCTGAAGGTTTCACAGCACATGACAAATAGACACCAACAGTCACTAATACCTAATGCTCTACAGTCAGGATACTCAAGTAGTGCATAAATATTCATTTATAGATGTGTGCATTATATAGACCTTTGACACATGAAAGAAGGCTGGCCAATACTACTATGGGTGGGAGTGATCCACTTTGTGATGGAGCTGCCCAGAGCAAAATAACCTAAATTTTGGAAAATTAAAAAAAAAATTGAAGAAGAGTGAGATAATGAATCTCTGGTCTCGATTTCTTTCATCTCAGGAAAAGCAGTACATTTCAGATACTAAAACTGAGAGCTGTTTGGTGTTCTTTTTAAAAGCACATGTATTTTAAATGCCACAATATGTTTTTTAAAGTTTCTCCATGATCTTGCAACTTGCAAAATCAAATCTTGCATTTCCCCAGCCCCCGTTTCATGCATCTGAACATATCCCAAATAGCTCAAGCTCGTTTAAAATTTGGCAAAAGGGTCTAAACTCTGCGTAGATACTGACAGTATCTAGTAAGATATTATCACAACAGATGTCTCTGGCGTACAGAGAGTGCATGCTGGGCAGGGGTAGGAAGGTTTTCTCCCAAGAAAATGTCATCAGCATTCACAGAAAATTTTCACCTGTTCAGAATGAAAGTTGAATTTCCCCTGTTTGATTAAATTTATCATCATGCTGGTAGTTATTGAGAAGAAGACAGTCCAAATAAGATCATTTGTTGTAAATCATTCTATGGAAGACCTCATCAAAATGGAAGAGAGGAGAAAAAAAATTTATAAGAACAACAGAATTACAGTAATATTAACAGATAAGACTAATCTTTCCATTTCAACCTTCAGATGAAAAGTGAATCCTCAATTTCTCTTTGCTGGTATTCATGAAAAGACAGTTAAAAGTTTTACCCATAAATATATTAATATTATAATTATGCATAACTACAGAATCCACATCCTTTTTTCCTGGCTGCCAATGCTCGTGTCACACTAAGTTAGTATTCTCCCACCTCAAGGCTTTTTTTGGTTAAATTTCCTTTCTTTTCCACCTTGTACTACTCTTTCAATGACAGGAAATAATTTTCAACTAGTCGTTCAGAAGCCAAGGTTATCTTGAGCAAATTCTGCCCAAAACCAAAGACAAGATGGAAGTGCAGAACAGCAAGAGTTGGCAGTAGATGGATAATAAGGGAATACTGAGTGGTGCATTCTGAAGTGTAATTACCTCTGAGAAGTATAAAACATAGGGAGAAAAAAAAAAAATCAGTGTTATTATTTTAATGGAGTCAAAACTTACTGGTTATCGTGACTTCTAGTAATAGTTATTTAACATTACAACTTATTTATTTTCAAAAAGAAAAGTGAATTTCCACCTGACCTCTTGATTCAGATGGCTTTCTGTCTTGATGAAGCAAAGAAAACGAGACAGAATGATTTTTTTTTTAGAAGTTTTGCATATGAATAGTATCTAGAAGTGCTAGGAAAGTCCCTAGTACCCGGCATGTTTTTCTGGGGGATTTTAAAACATCCCACTGTCAGAAGATTTTTTTTTTTTTTAAATGTCCCTTCTACATAGACACGTTTTCAAGCTCCAAGAGAGCATTTTTATTTCTTGTTGACTTTGTCAAATAGCTTTTTTTTGACTCCTTTTTGTCACAAAGCAAAGACAAAAGGCAGTCAAATTCCATCAGGCAGTAGTAAGCCAGGACTAAACACTCCTCAAGCTTTGTAGCTTCAGAGAGCCTGTAGATACCAACATGTGGTACAGTCCTCTTATATTAGCCATCTGTGTGGAAGGTGGGACCCTGTTTTCAAAAATAATACATCATAATATTATAAATAATATAAAATAATATATAGAGAGAGAGAAAAAAAAAATTAACAGTAACAAGGCAAGCCAAGCAACCTCCCAGCCAGCCTCTCCTGACTTCACATGTGCTAGTCCTTAACAGTAAACTCAGCTTTTGCTGAGCAGTTTCAGTCCACTGAGGAGCAGAAAACCCATTCAGTAAAAAAGTGTGAGTGGTTTCCATCCCAGTTAGCAATCTGGACTGGCTCACTAAAGAGTCAGGCAGGCACTGGACTGGCACAAGACCAGGGCTGGCAGCACACAGCCAGGAGCACAACATTCTTTGCAGCAATGGATTTGCTCTGGCTGTTGCTGTTGGACCCTACCTCTACCTTCCTTCCACATGAAGCTCCACTGCACTCAATCTTCCACAGCAAGGTCACAGCCATTTCTCACGTTCCTGGATTCCCATCCCAAAGTTACATCCTGACACTAAGCAGAGACAGCTTGGGAATATGCTCAATAAAGGGGATTGTGGATACCTTCCTGGACCTGAAGTTGAGTTGTGCTGAAGGAAGTGTGCCACGAGAACACAATTACTACCCTCACAGCCAAGAAGCTGGCAGGGAGAAAAAAGTAATGGCAGATCTTTGGCACTGTTGTTTGACATGGAAAGCAGCAGTGTATCCTTACTGTCTTATTTCTTTCATCTTAGTCTCTACCTGGAACCACATTATAACCACCAGCATGCTATTTAATACCAAGCAGCTCAAACCAAGTCTCCACGCTTAAAACCCACCTTTTTTAATACAGTATTTCTTTACCTTGTAAATGAAGTCAAAACATATGAAAAACTCATTCAGATTACGTAGATTTCATGTAAAAGCACCCCAGAGAGGATTCTGGTTTGTCTGTCTAGTAAAAAAAGTGTTAGAAATATATGCTCATTCTTATAGTAGTAGTTGGCATGTAGAAGCAGTTTGTTCACATTTCTTTTGTTCACATTTTTTTTGTGATACAACAATTGGTACGAGGTATCAAAGGAAAATACAGCATCAATTTAAGTCTATATAAATTTATTGTGCCACATTCAGAGAAAGCAATAATAAATTAAGTTCTGAGTGGCAGCAAAATAAGATGAGAATATAAACTAATCAGAAAGAGGGGGAAATATAGCAAGTCCAGAACTGGAAACTGTACAGGAGAAGAAATGAATTGGATTAATTCTAATGAATGGCTGAAAACTGTATGAGCACTGAATAAAGGGCATCTGAATGAACAATATGTGAATACTGAACAAAAGGTATGAAGGATACTGAGAAACACTGAACAAATACATCACCATGAAAGAAGCTTCTTGAGAATCCTCAACCATTCCAATTTGATAAATACAGCACAAACCAATATTAAATCAAATTGTGCCCAGTCCTCAGTCACACATCAGCAGTTCTGCACCTTATTTATGGTGGTATGAAAATACAAACATTTTTTGGTTCTTTGGCTTGGGACAAGAGTTGTTTCTTCCTTCACCTTAGGCACATCTCTTGTTGAAGGAGAAAAATTGTTTGTAGAGAATAAGATTTAAGTCTTCTGCTTTATGCCCAGGAAGCTTTTCTGCTTGCATTATTGCTATATTGATATGCTTAGAAATGTTTGTTGGCAGAAGTGCTACATGCTAACAGCAACATCATATTGTAAATGGAAGACATGATAAAATTGTGCACAGGTTGGGCTGATGGGAAAGCCCTTTCAAAACAGCTGTGTTAGCAGTGGAGCAATCTGATCTTCAAATTATGCACATCTTGGAGCTGTATCTATACAACTCCATTGTTAAGAATATTTTATGTCAATGGCAGTAACTAATGCTGCACTGCAAGGCTGAACCAGCACTAACAAAGGTCAAGAGCAGTAGGGGAGTCTTTTCCACCCACACCAAGCTGTAGCTCTTAGACACTGAAGCACATGGTGATTTCCAGAGGGACATCCTGAATTCTGAATTCTTTTAAAGTTGTATTTACTTGTGCTTGCAGGGCAAATATCATGGTAATCCCATGCATATAGCAGTGATCATCTCAAACTGTTTAAGAGAAGAAAGAAGAATATTGGCTGCAGCTAGCATGCCTGTACAGGTAATGAATTACATTTCATTAATTTGCTCCATGCTAAATCTGCTCACATGCTTATAGGACCAAATCCTGTTCTCTCATTCCACTAGAGTGATTTGTGTGCACTAGGGGTTGCCAAACAGTGCCCTTTAAAGTCATGTTTGTACTTTTTTAGTGGCTCTACTGCTGCAAACATTGCTATAAGTGACTTCTGTGTCACAGCTAATCTTCAAAGACTTTAATCTGTGGGAAAGGCTTTAAAGAGATTATTCTTTGCAAAACAGATGTGTATATTTAAAATTATGGAATGCATTAATTCATATTAATGCAAAAGACATTCCGTCTGATATGTTGCAAAGGCATGGAGAGGTTTTATGTTGCTTTAAGAAAAAAACTTTAAAATTACATATAAAACCTATTTTGGGGAAATTGTTACAGGGTTAAAACCAAAACACAATTTTTAAGTCAAATGTGTTCTTTTTAATCACTTGTGGATGTAATAGATTTTCTTGTATAAGCATCGTGACATGGGTCTTTCAGATGTCTACTAATCTGTGTTTAAGTTTCTTTAATTTACTAAATATTTAATGTTTGCAGTATACCCACACCCTTTCCACCTTTTGGATTTCAAAGTTACAGCAGCACGTTTTTCAAATCTGTGGAACTAAACAGATTAGTCTGTTTACACCAGTCTCCAGCTGGTTGAAGACCAATTTCTAAATTCCCTGTGTGCTAGGACTTGCAATAGAGTTACTACCACTTGTTATTACTCATCCACCCATTATCTCTTCAATGTGCTCCAGGGGCCGCTGGAAAAGTCTCTGCAGAACTCTGTGGTTTCAGAACGACAAAGAAATGTAGAGCACAAGGTGTCAGCCATCAAGAACAGTGCTCAGGTATTTTTTTGGTCCTATTTGATGAATAGTCACGGTCATGATTTTCGTACAGACATACCTGAACTATTTTTGAGCTGGGAAACACAAATACTTTTGCTAACAAGCTATGCCAACTATTTTCCATTATTCTGAGGATCTCAGCCTAGACTAACTACTCAGGATATACCTGAATCTTCAGGTTTTTACAGCAGTTCTAGGTTCAGTGTGGGAGCTACCTATTTTGAAGCTATCACACTTATCCGTAATGTGAGTTGCAGGCAGACCAGAGTACAGTAAGAACGTATCTACTGTCTTGATAAAGATGTGAGGTTCAATAAATGTCTTTCTGCAACTTCACCTCTTTTAGTTGGATCAGCAGTATCTAGCCTTCGTGACCTCTGAGTCACCTACCAAGATCTTTATAAAGCTGAAGGGCTACGTGACATAATTACATGTTTTGGAGACGTGAGGGGAGAAGAACACTGGGAGCTGATGATAACAGTTCTCTGGGAGTTTCCCATACTGCTGCAGGGCAAGCCAAACCTGTGGCTATGTCCCACAGAGACCTTGAAAGCTCGGGGAATACCTGCCCATTCAGTTGAAGGTAGGATAACCATTCAGACTGCCTGGAGCCCTTTTGCTGCCCCAGCCCCACTCAGCTTTGCAGCAGTCTCAGCACAGATGTTGCATTTGAAATACCTGTCCTGTGCTGCTGGAGAGCAACACTTCAGGTACAGGGGAAAGAGGTCCTAGTAGCATTCTTCATCAGTGTTCCCACACGTGCGGAAGAAAGCTTACAGAGATGAAACTCTTAAAAGGATAAAGCTAGGTTTAGAAGAATGTGAGGCTAGATCTCTATCTATGTATAAAGTTAGAAGATAAGGGTTGCAAAGCAAAAGCAGACAAAGGTGCAACCCAGCAGCCCTACCATGCTGCTCCTGCCTGTGTGGGGAAGTGCAACCATCCCTGAAAGAGCAGTGAAAATGAAAACTATTTCTAGATACAAGAGAGTTTTAGTAGGTAATTAAGTTGAGCACAGAAATCAGCCAGCTCCTTTTGTATGGAATTTCATACCTTACATATATAAAAGTTCGGTCTCTGAAGTAGAGAGGAAACCAAAGTGGCTAATTCTGTGTCTCCTAATTTAGCAAAAAAGTTTTTGTATTTTCACAGATACTTAATGTGCACTTCTCAGGGAACTCAAAAGGATTGACTTGTTGGCACAATCAAGGCTTCCTATAAACAGCACAGAAGCAGACCTAAGTAAAACAGATTATTTCCTACAGTTTTATTTTCCTTCTTTTGATGTGGATTTTTTTTTTTTAAATTATCATTGTTTGGTTACTAGAAAACACCTTCTAAACTTTTTGCAGTACGTATGAAAACAAGCCCTTGCAAAAAGCCAAAGCAGCAAAAATGTTGCATTTATATACCCAAATCCTTAAGTAATTATCTAGATAATATCTCTGAGCCCTGCCTCTGTCTCCTTTCTTGGCTTTGCACACACCATTCCAATTTCCATTGAAGTCAATGCAAAATCATCCATTTGGCCAGTTTTAAAGTTCCAAGAAGACCCTTACATTAGCACAATAATTTCAGTTTAGCTCAGGCTAAATGTAATTATTCCTACCTTCCTCTGTGTCATTGAACAAGTAAACAAGAAGCAGTTAAGCTGTATCAACTACTGTTTGACTTGGGAGAGAGGATAATAGTTGGCTTTCTGAAAAAGTAAAATAAATCTGTAGTTATAAATGTGTATTTGTAACTCAATTGACTTTTTAAAAGTTTATAAGATAGTAAACCAGAGTTCCCAGAACTACTTAGGGATTTTCCAGTAGTAGGAAAGGGAAACACTACATTGTGCGTTTGTCCATTACAAAACAAATTCCCTTTTATGTCTCTGTGTACACCTAAGAATTTTACTTTCTTTTCCTTGGGAAAGATGACTGACCAAGATGTCAAATACTTGGAAGACTTGCAAGAGGAATTTGACTTCAGGTATAAAACAATACAAAGCTTAGGTAAGAGGTTTTATAATAATTTTTAGATTCTGTAGGAAATGGCTAAATGTGCAGCTAGACCCAAGCTTGCAGGGGTTTTATGTGTTACCCAGATAAGACACATAAACATAAAAATGGATTTTTAGTTTATATAAAGTTACAGTCTTGGAACATAATGACTCTTTTGGGGTTAAGAGGGTAAAGAGGATCTTGTAGAGCAGTATAGTTATTTTCTACAGATAAGCTGCATAATGGCTTAAGAAGTAATATTTTTATTCATTTAAAGAACCTATTTTTCAATTTCCTCACTTTTGACATGGCCCTTCCTCGGCATGATGTGGAAGAGGCCCTTAGTTCCCAGAGTAGAGTTGTGCAAAACTGATTTTTTAGTTTCTAACTTGGCTTTCTGTTCTTTTTTGACCACAGTGGTGATAACCAGCTGGTAAGCTCTCTGAATGCACGTTTGACCAGCCTGTGATGGCTGAGTCCATGGCAACAGTCCTTGCATGATCTCCTTCAGAAAAGAAACTGAGGTCCAGTTGTGTCTGCTCAGATATTTTCATAGTATCTCCCTTTGAACATGCAAAAAAATATTGGGCTTGAAACATCCAAGTTCTTAAACACATGAATCCTGTACGTTTAAGGCTGGATATGGCCAAGCAATCAGAAGAGATCAAATTGCCATGGTTTAATGACTTGCTAGTCATCAGGCCAATCATAATTATTGACCATGCAGATGGCTGAAGCCTGCCCCACTTGCAGAAGAAAACATGCTTACGTAATTGACTTTCAAGGCTTAAAATTTCAGAGTGTCAAAAAATGCTCTACAGCAGCACAGCCATCTGGCAGTACCTCGCAGTGTGTGCAGGCAGCTGCTGTGGCTGACTGTTAGTTCCTTGTCTGCTGAAACATCTACCCTAGCATCATAGAAAGATGTCAATCCAGAGCATAGCAGAGACACAACTGGCACCAATCTCTTTTTTGAAAGTAGCACGAAAGATGGAAGGAGATCAAGAGGTGGGGGAAGGCGAGGGCAGGGGAAAAGTTGTGTGTGAAAGAGCAAACGGGGCAAGCTTGGGGAAGGTTGAAACTGATGCATGATCCAGAAAAGGTTACGGAGAGGGGGAAATACCCAGTGATCAGTACTCCCAGCTGCTGAAATCCCCACGGCCATAAACACTTTCTCTGTTTCAAATGTGTAACCTCCATTCTTTCAGCCAGACACGTAATTCAGACCAAGTCCAAAGAGCTTTAGTCCAGCTGCTGACACCACGAGCATATTTCAGTAGCGTACAGATCAATCCTTGATCCAAGCCAGATGTACATAATACACAAGTATGCACATGAATAAGAAGTTTATGGATTTCTAGCTATCATCTCTATGGTTTCTGCCCTTTCCCACTCCATATAGACATAATAAGAGTGGAATCATAAAACCTTATCGTAACACTTTACTAAAGCAAGTCCATTCAAATGAAATACACTATTACATAATCTCCTGCAGTTTATTTTTTCACCAGTTCATGCTGCAGTCTGGTCATGGCTTTTTCCCCCTGCTCCCCTTATACACATACACCCACAACACACATTTACACTGATTTTTTTCATCCCCTGCAGAGCAGAGTGACAAAAACAGCGTCCTCATTAAACAGGAAATGTTGGCATTGCAGGCGATGCTCAATACTTTAGACTACAAGAGAAAGGTTAGCAACGTGTTTTGTTATTTGTGGTTCATTTGCTTCCTCCCTTTATTCCCACACCGAATACTCAAACGTGTACGCGTGCCTTTTTAAATCCTCCTCTCTCAGAAGAGCAGACAAATAACACAGGAGTGAAAAATCCACAAAATGTTTGGGTGGGTATGGGTGATTTGGACTAGCAGTTAAGAAATTGGCAGTTAAGCAACAGCACAATCAAGGATCTGGTTTTGCAAACCTCAGGAGTGAGGTGAGGGCACCACATCACAGCACTTATGTACTGTGCTAAATGGATAACTTGGTTGTCAGCCTGTAGCTTTTAAAGTAAATAAAAAGTATTCAAAGTAAATGTAATTGGGTAATTGCACAGAAAATCAAACAAACCAACCCCAACAACTCCCCAGTGGTACCTTGCTGTCTTCAGCAACCAAGACTTGTAAATATGACAAATATTCCCCATACCACTTCTCTGCTGGCACAAAAAAACAGTACATTTAGGCCACTTGTTTGAGCCCATGTACTTTGAATGCTTAAAAGCAGGCAAGCAAAACCCCAGTGCACGGGATATGATGCAAAACAGGAGGAGAACTCTTTTGACCTTGACAGCATTTGCAAATCTTAAGTTCTTGGAGGTATTACGCCCACAAAGAATGTAACAATCCTCCTTCCCACCCCCCAGAAAAGAAGTTTTACTGAGGAAGAGTTCATAGAGATTCAGGATTAATTTCAAGTACAACTGGTGATGATTCCAGTCACCTCTGAGTTAAAGAGGCTGAAGCGATAGCGACTTAGCACAGTTACTTTCAAAATAATGGAAAAATTTTTAAAAAAAGTAATCAACACTATATGATAATTGCAGAAATTTGTGGCTGTTCCCTGTGGTCAGTTTGTGACACCTTTCCTATTTTACAGGAAGTACTCAGTAAAGTAGGGCGTGTGATTCATGAAATCGATGTGCTTATGAGCAACATGCTGACTGAAGAGCTGCTGGACTGGAAGAGGCGGCAGCAGATTGCCTGCATTGGGGGTCCCCTCCATGGAGGGCTTGATCAGCTCCAGAACTGGTAAACTTGCCTCGAGCTTGTGTTTCCACTGAAAACCACAGGAAGTCTGCTGCACAGGAAGTGATCATTCCTTTAGATCAGTTGCCTTGCTACCTCGCAACAGCAGCAGACTCATTAGCAGCTAACCAAGTAAATAACTAAAAAATACAATTTGTTTTGGTGGGCAACCTTTGCTATTCTGAATGAACAAACACTACAGGGAACTGCTGGACCTGAGCCGTGGCAACCACTCATTTTTTGGTTTGACAGTTGTTCCAGATAGATGATACATAACCCCTTGGGAGTTTTGCTTGAGTAAGAGCTGTGCTGACTGAGTTTGTCACCGAGGACAGTGGGAGTTTTGTCTAGGCAGGAGCTTGGTAGACACTTTATGCTTTGACTCACTAGGTACATCACTCCCCAGACTTCAAACTACGCAGGAATTGAGTGGCAGTAATCTCTGTGATGGCAACTTTAAAGGTGATTGCAAACAAAAAGAAAATAGCATTATATTTAAAAAGATATTGCAGCCAGAGAATATCAAAGTCCTGGTCATTTCTCTCTTATCAAACATCTTTTCTGGAAAAGGTGAAGTAAAAAATAAGAAGAAAAGAGGAAGAAAAACAATGAAGAACATTTTTAGGTTTGAAGAAAAAAAAAACCAAAACATTTTTTTCCTTTTTTGTGGGTGGGTTTTTTTTTTCTTCCACTGAAGTGCTTTTTCCAGTGAAGATGTTAAAAATGGCTTAAAAATATGACTTTTTGTACACACGTACCTGATTAAACTGTTAGCAAGTGCATTTGGATTTGATATTCCTTACTGTTTTTACACTTCTTCAGTCTTGGTAATTTGGTACATTTTATATAAATATTATCCTTTTAAAGAGTACATTTTGCAAAATGAGTGACCTGTAGGAAAGAATTGCCATTGGCATAAGTGTCCTGCATGTAAACCATCAGCACTATGTATGGCTTTCTTCCAAATCATCACAGACACTGTTGCATAAATATTTATATTTTAAAGTAGGTAATGTTATTAATATATTTATATAGTCCTGTAAACAGGAGACGAATGGACATGAGTCTGGATAAGCTAGAAAGTACCCAACTGTCCTGATTCCAACTTCCCTCAGCAAGAAATTCAGGAGCCATGACGTTCTAAGAAATGCTTCACATGGAAAATTGCAAACTCATCTTTTGTCTTGCTGTAGTTTTACGCTGTTGGCAGAGAGTCTCTTTCAAGTAAGAAGGCAGCTAGAAAAACTGGATGAACTGTTGACCAGATTGACTTACGATGGGGACCCCATCCCAGTGCAAAGACCTCAGCTGCTGGAGAAAGTCAACTTTCTGCTCTACAATCTGTTCCGGAAGTGCGTAAGCCATTGTGCATCAATTTGTGTCAGTTCAGAGAGTTATTGGCAACAACGAGACAGTATGGTTAAAAAATAAAGTTTCAATCTCCGAGGCTTTTAAAGACCAAGTTCCCAATATAAAAAGTCTGTACAGCTGTCATCAAAACTCCTAGAAGCTGAAGGTGCCAGGCATCCTCTGTGTAGCAGTTAAGGGCTTGTGATCAATTTCTGACTCTAAGTGAACTCACAAAATCCACTTATTTCAGTACAAGTTATGTACATACTGCTGAGGAAAGTTGTGTTTGTTTTGGTTTGTTTTGTTTTTTAAGTAAAGTGACAGGTGCTAGTTTTTTTCCCTGTCTTTCCTCTTCCCCATCAAGACATCCTTCTGCCCCCCTAGTTCACCCTTCTGTAATAGATGAAATACCATCCTCTTACCTTTTGTACTAGCTATGCTAGAGACACACCACAAGTGACTATCTGAAACCAAAACATGGCCAACTGTTTTTTATAAATAATGAAAAATTATTAAATGATTTTTTAATTCATTGGAGCTAAGGCTCAGTGTACTTTTATACTCTTGTTTTATGGTTCTGATAAGTTTTGGTCTTCAAAATTTTTATCAGCCTGGTATTTCTAGATGATAGAATTTGGTTTGTTTTGATTTTTGATGTCTTCCAAATACCTATTTCTTATAAGAACAACTCAACTATAGGTTAGACCACTGGATGATTTTAAGAACTGAGAGTTAGAATACATGCCTCCCACTTAAGCATCTGTAGAGAAATAAGTCTAAGAGACACCAGCACTTCCTCCTCAGCCAAATACAGCTGTTAATGCATATTCCTAACAATCTGTTTCACTTCTTTTCACACAGTTCATTCGTGGTTGAAAGGCAGCCCTGCATGCCAACACATCCCCAGAGACCAATGGTTCTTAAAACTTTAATACAGTTCACTGTTAAGTTAAGGTAAGGAAAAGAAATCCAATATAAACTTCTTCATTGTGTACTATATTTTATCCTAGGAGAATCTAGAAAGTGAAGTGAACCATCAAGTGTGAGAGATCTTGTGGATTCCAGGGAGATTTTCTGGAATGGGGATATAAAGGCCACAGAATCTGTCACTTCTTGTAAGAAGTGGCAATAAAGAGTAAATCAGCTTGAGGAAGAAAAGAAAATTATGGCCAAAAGTCAGCACCTCCAGGGTTCTGTATGCATGGAATTCTTGTTCTAGTGACTTGGCAAACTGAATAAATAATGACCCACATCATACAAGCCAATATCAGAATACTCAGAGCCAATTTTACATGTAGGAAGGAGAAACCTCTGTATTTGGGGGGGCTCTGGTGAATCAATGGCAAGTTATTTCTCTCCCACTGTCTCCTTGCTTGACTTTGAAAAGATTGGAGAGGAATTCTCATGTCATTTCCACCCCACATCAAGAAGAATGCTTGGAGGTTTAGGGGGCGTGTGGAAAAGGTACATGAAGGAAAGTACACATACATCTACAGTGTAGTCACAGATTATACAGATCCACTGCCACTGGAACAGCTCAGCTCCTTTTCTCAGTACACAACCCTGTACATCATGATATAATCCTAGATGCCTAATCTGTTTTCAGATTATAATCTTTTCAGATACCTTAGTGTAGAGCTACTACTCTCATACTTTCTGGTGAAAACTTTATTCTGTTAATATTCACTTCTACATTTTCTGTTTTGAAGGTTGCTAATTAAATTGCCAGAGCTGAACTACCAAATCAGAGTGAAAGCAACAATTGACAAGTAAGAAACTTTAAAGTGAAGATATTTTTTCTCTCCCTACAGAGACAACACAATTTTCAATTGCTACCCTAATCTGATTTAGAAGTTGCTATAAAAAAAAGGCAAAAAACACTCAACCAAAAAAACCCAACCAGTTAAAACAGCAGAGTATTGCTTTTCTTTTCTTAATGTGGATGATTTGTGCTTTTTTTTAAAAAAAGAAAAAAAAAAGCTGCTATGTCAAATTGATGTTTTCAAATTGGAGGGAAGAAGCACATTAAGATTAGTTTCAAGGTTTAGATAAAATTCATCAGGCTGAAATAGTGTTATCACACAAAGACTTTAAAAGAAACTGTATTGCATTTATAGGACAGTTAGCTTTCAAATCCCACTTATCTCTGCTTATATTAATAGGCTGAGTACCTTCAACACAGCAGCTCCAAGGAGTACATGAAGCTTGGTCTTGAAAATTGTGCTGTAATTAGCAACAATGGCCACTTACAGTTTTACCCCTGCCTGGGATTAAGACTGCTACATATACTGCTCCTTTCTAAGGTGTTTGGTTCCCCTTTGGTTCCCCCATTACTTCTCAGAATGGTCCCAAATGACCAGGATCCCCAGCTTCTTTGGTTGATTGTAGTTTCCTGAGCAAAAAGCATCTCAGAGCCTGTCCATGCTGCATTTATGAAAACAGCATTAATCTGTCTGGAGTATTTCTATTGGAGTTGATGTATCTTCTCTCAGCATGGGGTGGTATTCTGTGCAACACCTAGTACTGTAGGGCAAACTTGGTTACAAATAGGTCAGGGCAACCTAGCTTGATAAAACATGGGACAAAGGATTTGTTGTCAAGGTAGAATTTCAAAATCAGCAAAGGTGATCCAAGTCCTCACCACCCCCAGCCACAGGTACCAGCTACCTCCCTTCTCCTGGCTGTTGTGCTTCTGCAGGCCCATAAAAAACACCTTGACCACAGACACATGTGGCCCAAAAGAAAGAAGGAAAACACCCAGTGGGGAAGGAGCAGGAGAGAAACCAAGACTGTTTCTTTCAATATCTTTATGCTGTCTGATTTGGTGCTGTGGACACATCCTCCCAGTACACCATGAGCTATCTACACAGGCTCGTATTGTCCCGAGCACAGGCATGCAAGCAGTTAGTACTGCAGCTTGAATGCCCACATATCAATCCAATGGGGGGAAAAAAGCTAGAGAAAATACACTACTTGCATCTGGCAACATACAAAAGTCTAACTGGACATTACAAATTTCAGTTCTTTAGTTTAAAAATTGCTGTACAAGTTATGGCTTACACATTTACTGACTCACAATCCGTTTCGTCCCCTCGCCCCTCCTCTGTTTTAGGAATGTTTCAACTGTAAGGTAAGAAAATAAAATACCTTGTTTCTTAAAATGCCCAATATGTTATTATTTGAGGATGTAAGTGTATTGTCCCCCGTAGTAACCGGAGATTCATCCTGTGTGGCACACACATGAAAGCAATGAACATGGATGAATCTGCCAATGGAAGCCTGTCAGTAGAATTCAGACATTTGGTAAGTCCCACTGCTTCTTTTCCTGCTGGGCACCTCTCGTAAAGAAATAAAAGAGTCTTTAAAAACTAGGCAGGCAGAATTGTATTACTTTCAAGTCTATACTCATTTTCTTTCCCCTTATACAGAAAGCTTGCTCCTAGAACCTCTTGATGCCTTCCACACTGTAGCCATTCCATAAAATGAGATATGTTTTCACAGAAATGACAAAGCAAATCCTAATTAATGCCAGGAAAAAAAAGACTAATCATGCTGAATTACACAGCTTCTCAGAAACTGAGTTTTATTTAAAAAAACAATACAAGCAAAAGAAAAAACCAAACCCAAACCACACCACCTTTGTCTAGGGGAAATATAAAATTGAATGCCTTAGGTCTGGTTGAAAGTAATGCCTGCAAAAAAAGTCTTCTCAGAGACTAGTAGTAGTGCTTCTGTAAGTTCTCTAGTATCCCAGTGAGTCATCCTTTCTGACTAGACTCCCTCACCTAAGGTTTTTTTTTTTTGGCTTAACCACAGATGCAGTGCATCAGTGTAGCTTTGCAAAAGGAGATGGCAGATTGATGGTCTCTAGTCCTTTTTTGTATTATACACTTTGCAAGCACCCTAATTAACTCTTTGTTACATTAACTTAGTTTCTTAAAAAATTCTGTTTCAATATCAAAAGACTAATCACTGAACAGACTTTTCAAGGCATAGTGACAGAGCCTTCTTTAAAGTGTATTTATATATTGCAAATAAAATCTTATTATACTAAGAACATCATGGTTACAAATAATGTTCTGTATAATATACCTCTGCCTAGTTTCTTTAGCACATTAATACTGTTTTGCTTTATAGCAACCCAAAGAAATGAAATCGAGTGCTGGAAGCAAAGGAAATGAGGTTTGTGCATTTATTTTACATGTTATTTTTGACTACTCACAAGTATTTCAGACTGGATTTTACTTAAATGAAAGAGAAACTGTATGTTAGATTTTGAAATACCTGTTATCCTGATAATCAGTATAAGATCCAAATTATACTATCATATGAGAACTTTTCAGAACTAGTCATACAAATTTTAATTACATGCCTTAAATATGTATGTTTAAAAAGTTACAACAGAAGGTAGGAGGTAATAACCTGAATGTATGTGTTCCTCTTTGAGACTGCTATTTTGGGCATTTTTATTTTGAAAAAAAATAAACTTTTTGATTTTTTTATGTTGAAACAATTTTTCCTGTAGGTCCTTTAAATATATAGTCTGTTAGCCAAGTTTACAGCTGAAGTAAGGATATAATTGTGTTTGCATCAAAGAGTTTCCTTGCCTCAGCCAGGACCAAAAGTGTGCCTCCTTCAGCAACACTCCTCCGAAAGCGGTGGTAGGTTCCCCTCTGGTGGTGGCACTGTACCATGACATGTTAGCCCTGACAAACATGACAAATTTGCAGTACCTAGGTTTCAGAGACATGCAGCACCCCCCACATCCAGACCACCACTGCTTCATCTCCTCACCATCTGCACAGCTCTACCCTATGTCCTTCTTCTCAGCTCTGGCTTCCTACTAAGCACGATTCCCCCAAGTGCCCTAAGTACCACAGGCACAAATCAGAACTACAGGCAAGAAGGGTACTGCCTTCATTCATTCCCCTCCTGCCAGAGATGCAGAAGGTATAAGAACCCCTCAATCAATTTCTTTGCACAGTGGAAGTGCTGAGGGTAAAGTTATGTTGGCAAGTTTTATTTAAAAAAAAAAAAAAATCATTTATATCACAGCCCAAATAGATGTAGTTACACAAGCACAAAGGTCACTACAAGTAGTCTTTAAGTATAAAGATCTGATCAGCATGGAGAATTTTAACCAAAAACCTAAAGGAAACGGTACTTGTGAGATACTCTGAAGATAATTCAGAGTTTCTGAACACAGTAACTTGCAACCTGATTAGCAAGACTGAAACTCAAGGCTCACCTCCCAATTACTTTGCTACTGACAAAGTCATTTGCATCAAGACAAAGAAATGCAAAAACATAGCTAGGTGTAAAAATGTTGGTGCTCTACTTTTTTTGGTAGCATTTTACTCCCCTTTTCACACTTTATGCCTTTGTAACTACAGAAAACATAGGGCTGGGGAGAATTGGGGCATCTGAGCTGTGACATGGTTCCCTACTAACTGTTTTCCTCAAAGAGAGCTTCTCCTTAGTCAAATCACAGTCTGTGAAGTCATTATTAGCATGAACAAGGTATTTCTAACAGCAACTATAATAATTCAAAACCTAGGTTTGTTATAGGATGTTTAGTAAGCTGAGAGTGTAGTTGGTAAGTATGACTTGCCTTGTAAAAAATAAAAAGTGGTAGCTCTCCATATTTGAGATTTGTCCTTTCATGCAGGTACATCTTTTTGCTTAGGTCATTTTTCCATGAGAAAAATGTGAGGTTTTGCAAAATCATGGCAACAGGGAGGGAGAGAGGAGTTTCACCAACCCTTTTCAACTTTGTGTCAACAAAAAAAGTTGAAAAGTTGAGTGGATTGATTCTACCTGCATTAAAACATTTGCATCCATTGAACAGACAAGTATTTCATTTAAAAGCCTTTGGCTCTAAGCTGGATTTTCCCTTTGCAATGCAGATTTATTATTTAGATACCTGAGACTCTCCTGTGGTCTCAATCCCTCATTTATACAATATCTTTTATTGCAGTGGCCTGTATACATCCTGCTCCCTGGAAAGATAAAGCCACAAGGCACTTTCCCAAGGAATAGTTCTAATTTACACGGACCAAAAGCAGAGGATTTCAGTAAATGGAAGCATTTTGATTTGGGATTTTTGACCTAGTTTCTTTTTAAGAAAGTCTGACAAAACAAATATGTGATGGGGAAAGGAAAACCAACAACAATAAAAAACAGGAAAAGAACAAGAAGATTTTCATACTTGGGTATCTGGGGATGGAAATGCATTTTTAAAGATCCTTTCCCCAAGGGGCAGAGATTTGGATCTTTACAGAGCATTGCTGTTTGCAATCAAAACAAAATGCTTGTTTTGTTTACAAATTTGATAATCAACTATGACAAACAGGTATTTTTTTTTTCCTATCCAAGAAAAGCTCTGTTTTTTACAGATTTACTTTGGATTAATGATTTAGACTTCTACTTCAAAACTAGTACCATCTAAATATACTTAAACTAAATCTGTGTACCTAGATGAGGGTCATTAAAGCTGTAACTTTTTGTTTTGTTTCTAATTTGTTCCTTCTTAAAGTTTAATACCTTTGTTTAAATTAGAATTATCAATCAATAAAGAAACTTTAGAAAGTTAAATGATGGAGACAATGTTAATCAGATACCAAAAATAACCTGTTAAATTTTTGTGTGCAAATCTGTGTCATTTTAGAAAAAGTTAAAAGCAAAAGTTCAAAGTTTAAAATTAGTACTTTAGCAGTGTCATGACTGGTTTTTTTTTATTTTTTATTTGATTTATCAGAAAATAAACCACCAGACTCCTGGACTAATTTAATGTCAGAGTTAAACAATTTCCTTCACTTCCTTCTTTTCCTGTTCTACTGATATATTTGATACATGTTTTCTTTCAGAGTTGTTTAATCTCAGCAGCTGGATCACTAAAAAAGTGTTAAGTGCCAACTGTACAATTCACAGTTCTGTAACTTCCTTCCTCAGGGCCCTCACATGGTGACTGAGGAACTGCACTCCATCAGCTTTGAAACACAGGTCTGCCTGTATGGATTGACTATAAATTTGGAAGTAAGTATTCTAGCCAGATTTTCTGGGACAAGAATAAGAGGCATTTTCCAGCACCTTGTAGAACAAGCATGTTATGCCATGAGTCCATCTATCATAGATGCTATATTCAGCAGTAATCATAAGCAGACACAAGATTTCCAGAACTTCTGGACAGAAACGTATGCTTTGGGATGGAAGAGGGGGCTGAAAAACCAAAGCATAACACAGCACTAGTGCTTTCCTCAGCAGCATTTACATACTGCATTCATTCTTTCCACCAGACCAGCTCTTTGCCTGTGGTGATGATTTCCAATGTCAGCCAACTACCCAACGCATGGGCTTCTATTATTTGGTACAATCTGTCAACCAATGATCCTCAGGTAGGTCTTTAGTATGCAAGTCCTGACTTTTTGCATGTTCACATTTCTATTATTCACTTACTGAATATATTCATTATAAAAAGGCAGTGTTTCCCTCCAAAATTTGCCTTATTTTCTTCACATACACTCTTATCAGCATACTACTTTAATCTTGTTTGTCATTATCTTTTTTTCCTTGCCCAGACATAAAACCGTAGGCATGCTTAACCTTCCTTTTTGGAGGCTACAGTAGTAGTTATTAAACAAAGGTTAAGACAGTTTGCCATGGAATGCACCTAAGAGTGATGGCAGGCTAGCTGACCATCAGCCTGAACGTCATTATCACTCTGTGACACTCCAAAGAATTTTTTGTACAGTCTTCAGTGTGTATTAAATTACTGTCCAGAAAACAAAAACCTAAGGTGAGCCAAACAATTCAACAGTATATTGCCAAATGAGGACATAACCATGTAAGATTTCCTTGCACTAAACATATTAAAGTACAGTGAGAATATCTGCATTTCTTGGTGAGGATTTAAGCATATTTTCAGAGTCTTAAGATAAGATGCCAGCAGACACACAGCAAGGTCCTTTACCATCCAAGATTCATACACGGCCTCTCACTCATTCTAGGAATCTCTCCCTACAGCTCTGCTCAGGCACCCAAGTGGACCTTGCTGGGTGGCTGCAGGAGGGAGGGCCAGCACATATTCCCCCCCATGTATCCACCCCCCACAAACACATCACATTTCTAACACTTCCAGATTCTGCTTCAGTACTTGCAGCCTTCTTTTACAGCCTGCAGTGCATTTCATGATTGCTAACTGTCTAAACAAAGCACTAATTCTGTTGCAGAATTTGTCTTTCTTCAACAATCCCCCTGCTGCCCCTTTAAGTCAGCTCTTAGAAGTACTGAGCTGGCAATTTTCATCCTATGTTGGTCGTGGACTCAATTCTGAGCAGCTCAACATGCTGGCAGAGAAACTTACAGGTAAGTGTGTAGCAATACACAGATTTTATTTGCTTTGGGGCTCTTAGATTTGATAGTTATAGGTAATGACTTCAAGCATGACCTCCACTTCCAGAGCTGACTTCAAAAATGCCACAATGACATTTTTTTTCTTTCAAGAAAAGCCCATGTCAGCTACTCTTACCACAAAGTGATTCAACTTCTGAACTTCCAGGCTGCTAAACTTAGAGGGCATCAGAGTTACACTGAACTGTGATGTTATTTTGTTTGCTTAGCAAGTCATTATCTCATGCATCTGAAATCAAAAGGAAGTCTTTTTGCTTGCTTACAGGGTTTGGTTTGGGTTTCATTTTAAGTACCCATCTGTGTAGGCCTGTTTAATTCTGGGACCCATCCTTCACTAGTGACAGCACCGCAAAGAGGCCCTGTAACTTCAGCAGCATGAGCTATGGAACACTTAGATCTCACCATCCCAAGAAGGGAGAGGCCCTGGGGAAAGCTGGCAGGAGAAAAAAACAGAAGGGAAAAAGAAAACACCACAAAAAACACCCCACTGTTGGTTTCTGGAAAAGAAAAAAAGTATAATATATATTGTGAGCTGTAAGAAAGTCCAAGCTGAGGGTGTAATAGTACCTCTACTGTTGGGCAAGAACAGAAGAGTTTGTCGAAGACAGGGGAATCTTTGCTTTTATTGCTTTCAAAGCTGGGAAGTAAAGACTGGCCTCCTTGGGTAGATTTCTTGTTTAGTATGGGTAGTAATGTTGAGAGGTGCCATGGTAAATTAGCAGGAATCATTAGAAAGAAAAAATGAATTGGTTTAAAGTACAGAAGCTTAAGATAGAGTGAAGGCAAAGAGAAACAGCACTCTGGCTGAAAACTGAGCACACAGTATTGCAGAAACCAAGTCTCAGACTACTTTAGACTAATATTCCCAAAACTACTAGCTACTTAAAAGGGACAGAAACATATGATCTACGATCCCTTAGCATGCCCCTTCCAATCCCTCTCCAAGTCTGGATGTACTGTACATCTTCCTCTACTTCTTCACCCTCAACTATACAGATACCAAATTATATCTACTTCAGAAAAAAAAATAGACTCATTATTTGCTGAGGGGTTTTTCTTATTTTTTTGTGTGTGCTGCTTTTTTTCTCTCTTAGGACAACAAGTCAGTTACAACGATTATCAACTATCCTGGGCAAAGTTCTGTAAGGTACAGTTCCAAAAGTAAAACTGGACTCTTCTTTCTCTTAACCCCACATCTGTGCCTAACTGATGATGACTTGTCTTTCTGATGCTACTGATAAGATTCCCCACTTGCCAGATGTGGGACTTGTAGCCCAGCTTGGTCACATTCATTGTAAAAATAACTAGGAAAACTATAAAGCTTGGGGTAAGACATCTGCTTAGTTCCATTGCTACAGATATCAGAAACTGTCATTATAGTGTGCCCTGTATATTTCTGTAAAATATCAATATATTGTGCTATTAAAGCACACAATGCATTTTTCATAAAGCATACAGTAATTTTTTTCATATGCTCAGTTGTGACCTAAATTATTTCAAGTCTGTTGATATCTTCAGTAACTTTGCTGAGGAAAATTAAAGTTACTGAGAAAGAAGGGTAAATTCTTTTTATTAATATTATGTTATTTAAACAAGCATAGAACCTTGGAAGGAAGGTCAACTTCCCCATCATCCTTTCTCTCTAAATGTTATTTCATAACCACAAAGAAACGATGATTGTGATTTTTTTTTTCCCCCTTGAAAAATGAGGCGCTTCCAACATAGATCTTAAAAAAAATCATGTTTTTATGTCAGGCTGAGATAGGCACATTACTCAAAACACCAGCTGAGATTTGTTATTCTTGCTTGAACAGATTAGTTTACTCTTAAGTAACTGAGATAGCCATGTCATACACATGTTGGGTAACAGTACGCTCCATTCTCTTTTCGTGTGTGTTGATTTTGTTTTCTAACCATTAGGAGCATTTGCCTGGAAAGTCTTTTACCTTTTGGGTTTGGCTGGAAGCTATCCTGGACTTAATTAAAAAACACATTCTTCCTCTTTGGATTGATGGGTGAGCAACAAGGAAACCGCTGTATATTGGCCTCTCTCTGCTTTGTCTTTTTTTTTTTACTACTCTCAGTTTCAGTTATACAGAAGAGAATTTGCAAAAAGTTTAATATTTCTGTCTCCCTCTTCCTATTTATAACTTCTGGAATTTTTTGGTAACAGGGAACACTGTTGAATCTCTTAAAAATGCAGGTCTAGAGCCATTGATGAGTTCTGTCAGTGTATAGTCAAGTACTGGGATAAATTTCATCATGCTGCATAGTACTTTGTGTTCAATGCCATATTCCACATGTAATTCACGTGAAGCTTTTGTCATAGCTTCAAGACCTTGTAAAGCTTTTGTAACCAAGATTTGAACACCTATATAAAGTTTGGCCAGATGTATTGCACAGATTGAAGTCTGTATTTTTTTTCCAAAAGTAAACCTGTGATTTCCTGTTGTACTTCAGGTACGTAATGGGATTTGTAAGCAAAGAGAAGGAACGAATCTTGCTCAAAGACAAGACACCAGGAACATTTTTATTAAGGTTTAGTGAAAGCAATCTGGGTGGAATTACCTTTACTTGGGTGGATCAGTTAGAAAATGGTAAGTTGTTTTTTTTTTAAAACAAACTGCAAACTCTGCAACACGCCTGTAATACAGCAGCCAAGATTTCTTTGGTTTGAAAGCAAAATTCGTGTGTATCATGTCTTAGTATGGTTTTGGGCAAGATAAAAGTATCACATTTACAGAAGCACAAACCAAAACTCTGAAACCCTACCTGTCAGTTCTTTGTATTAACTAGATTAAGAGGTGTACCTGCTTACTGCAGGCTATAAATTCATTTCTGGGTGTGCAGAAAGTCTATCATGAAAGATACTAACCTCGGTATGAACAGGCAAAACCCACACCAGTGTAAACTGCAAAAGAAAGGCAATAATATGTCACAACTGCCTTTGTTTTTACAGGAGATGTAACCTTCCATTCGGTGGAGCCCTATAACAAAGGTCGCCTATCTGCACTGCCTTTTGCCGACATACTGCGTGATTACAAAGTTATTATGGCAGACAACGTTCCTGAAAACCCTCTGAAGTATCTGTATCCAGACATTCCCAAAGATAAGGCCTTTGGCAAACACTACAGCTGTCAGCCAAATGAAGGTTGGGCTCCATTTCTCCATTTCCCCTTTCTGCAAAGCAGCTGCGAAGTCGAGAGACACTGAGGAATGTGGGGGAGAGGAAAAAAAGAACAGATTAAGATGCCTCCTTTAATCAGCATCAAGAGAACTTGCTTTAACACATCTATCATTTAGACAGCTTCATTTTGTAAATATGTCCCTGGTCTTAGAGGTTACATTAGAGGTGACGACAACAATATTTAAAAGAAGCTAAGAAATAGATCTTAGGGTAGAAAGAGTCAAAAAATAGGACTTTTTTCCTGACTGATGCATTACACAATTCAGTGTTCAGGTGTTCAAAGGACAGGACACTAAAAAGTCAGCCTGCTTATTTGACTAATAATTGTATTACACTGTAGAATGTTGTCTCTAATTTCAAGGAAATTCTCCATTTTTCAAACAGCTTGGAAGACCTTTATTTCATTTCCTTTGGTGGAACCCTATAATAAAGGTCACTTATCTGCACTGCCTTTTGCCAACATACTGCATGATTAGAAAGTTACTGTAGCAGACAAAATTCCCCAAAGTCCCTGGCAACTGCACTGGAAAATAGAAGAAGGCTAGACAAGAATGGCTCCAAATACATTCAGGCCCATGCTTTCTTGTCCAACTTACAAGTTAGGCCATGTTCAGATCAAACACACTTTCTCTTTAAGAAACCCTCAAAACCTTGATTTTTTTAATAGACAATGCACATTCTTCTGAACTTTCAGTATAAAAGGTTACAATTCCTTTTAAATTCAAATTCCTACACTAATCAAAAATATTTGAAGGCTACAGAAGTTTTTCCTTTTCATTTTAATTCAATGGACTTTGCCTATAAAAGTCCAGTCTTCTAAAAAATTTTCTGCTTATTTAAACATAAGCAGGGACATTGCTAATATATTATGATCTGCAGCACTTAAAACAGATAATAAATTTCAAATAAGTAATAAAATGACTAGGCAATATTTAATTACTCCAATATTTATTTTTAGTCTCAAAGCCCTCAGAGGGAGGAGGCAAAGGTTATGTTCCTGCTGTGTTTATCCCAGTCTCCAAAATGTAAGTATCCTTACAGCTGTATTATACTTCAAATGTTATTTTTACTAAATTTACATACTGTTTTCAGTTTTCCCTCCCTCCTTTCCCCCATTCAAATAGTTTGGGATAGCAACACATTGCATGTTTTTACTTGGTCAAGGACAACTAAAGGCAAGAAAGGGAAGAACTTCACCTCCTCAGTGCTTTTCCCATCCATGGGGCAAAACATTCGTAAAAACTGAATGCAGACTTTACAGTACTCTGATCTACTTATCTTTTTTATCTCCTTTTTCTCTCCAGCAGCTCATATTAGAGAGTCAGGTTTACCCTCTCATCCCCTGGTCCTATCTCCTACATTTTAAAATGTGTACCAGGTTGTTGGTGTGTGCTCACAGAGCCACCAGCAAGCCCCAGTACAGGCTTAACTAATTGAGTTAGCATTCACCATACTCCATTGCTATGCATCAAGTTAGAGGGATTTAGGTTGGTTTTAAGATTATTGTTGTGGTGTTTTTGTTTTGTTTTTAAGCTTAAATGATTCTTCAGATCCACATTCTCCATCAGATCTTCTTCCCATGTCTCCAAGTGTTTATGCTGTGCTGAGAGAACACCTGAGTCCCACAGTGATCGAAACAGCCGTATGTTGTAAACTTTTCCATTCATAAGTGAATACTAAGCAAATGGGACACAACTGCTTATAAAAAGGCTGCTTGTAGAACTGTGAGAAAACAGAGCTCTTTCATCACTTGCTATATTGCATTCTGAAATGATGGTGCAGACATTTCCTATTCTAAACAGGACAGGATGCTGTAAGCATACTTGGAAGCGCTGTGTTATATAAAACTGTTTGACACACTGGCCAAAGAACCATCAATGTCATAATTAAAAGATCGCAGAGTTCTTGCACAAATGAAGCCTTTACCCTGACAAATACATAACGATGACACTAATTCTGGAGATAGCACATAGGACCTCACTTGCTCAGGGAAGCTGGACAAGGAACATAAAGATTTTCAGTTTAGCAAACTTGCAAAACTTTTCCAGACTGCAAGTTTCTACATGGGATACCAAAGTGAGAAATTAAAATTTCTCACTGAGAATAATATTCATTAAGTAGAGAGTGGGAAAATACTGTACCAATGTCCTATTTAAAATTTTTTTCTCTTTTATTTACTGACTAGAAACCATTTTCAGAATCATTGTGACTTATAGTACTTAGAGCACTGATGTGTATCCACTGCGAATTTGTCCAGCAGACTTCTATCAGGAACACAATTTTGGCCTTTACAGCTTTAAAACAAAATCTGCTTTTACAATAATAACTCTTGGTTTCCTGCATGTTCAATGATTTATGATCTTCAGATGGTTATGTATTCAAAAGCCTGTCAACTCCCCTTCAAATGCCTCTCTGTAAACACTCTGCCTCACCCACAAAGAGAACAAAACTAAACCAGAATCCTGTCTGACAATGCTTGGAAACACAGTTAAACACTATATACAAACAGAGTTCTTTAATACACACCAAGCTGAAGATCTGGTCAAGAGCAAAGTATCTTGTTTCGTTTCTTCATCTTTATCTCTGATAGCACTCATGACATCTTCAGCTAAACCTGAAATACTATCCTGAATGAAAATTCTGCATTAAAATCTACCCCCACCCCATCTGAGACATGTCCCCACTCATTTGTTGTTTGGCTTATACAGAACTGAGACAATTCTGACCTTTTAAACTCCATTTGTGAGCTGTGTACGAACTTGCATCTCCCAGAGTTTTGGCAGTTAAAAAAATAGTTGGCTTCACTTTTGTTTACCATCAGGTTTCAAACATTTTCAGTTTCTTTTAGCATGCACAGCAATTCTCAAACCAGCTCTTTCCAGAGCTTCCAAACGAGTTGTAACTGTTGCAATCCTTTGAGGTCGTAACCACACAAAAAGAATCTGTTTGGTAATTCATTGGAAAAGTCAAATACAATCATGTTGTAGTTTTTGAGGGTGCGTGCACAGTGAAGTGATTCAGTGCTGCTAGATGATAGATGAATTTCTGGAGGCTCTTACTAAAAATATTTTCAAGCTCTGCTAGAAATTGGGGGAGAAAATAGTTTTTGAAGATTTTTAAAGAATTCCTTCCTTCCTTCCTTTTTCCATTCTATTTATCTTGCTAAATGGAAATGAGGAAAACACAGGGTTTTTTTCTTTATCATCCCAAATTCACACAACAATCTACCCTGGTGGAGAGCTGGCTAAGTACAGTAAGCAGACAAACTGCATTATTAAAACAGTACTTTTTCTCCATTAAATGCCAATAAAAAAAGCACAGTGTGAGATACAAAGAAGAAGAGCAAGATATGCAGCAGGACAGCATATCCTACAGCTCAGTAGATCAGTCTTGCCAAGATACACTTTCTGCAGTCTTGCTGAATTCCCTTTATTTCCCACCTTCTCCAGGTTCCCCTACCCATTGGGAACACAAGACTCCAGTAAGAACCATGCTATACAGATCCATGGGCTGCAAGAACCACAAAAGTTCCCATGAAAATACAGATTATTTTTATTGCAACTATTTTCCACACAGTGTCTTGTAAGGAGCATTCCTATATTTTGTAAAGAACTAGAAACAGGATGATCAGGTCCTTGCCAGTTTCTATTATGTTGTCAAAACGATACTGCAGTTACCTTGAGCTACAGAAGGTTTCATTTGCAGTTATTTTTGAATGAACAGCAGTCACTGCCATGGAACTAACCTTTTCTTTCTTTCCTTCCAGCTGAGTTCTCCTTACTCAACTGACTGAAGTTCACATACTGGAAAAATTAGCAATTGTGTGAATACTGGATGGGTTAAAGATGCAGTAATATTTTTTTTTCATCATCTTTGTAAATCAGCATTTTCTGGAAACTATTCTGATGTTATTCTTGGGCCCCTTTCTGTTATCAGCACCATGTAAACCCGGAATCTTCTCCCTAGAGATTGCAAGTCATCTCCTGCAAGTCAGAATTGATGTCCACAATGATAAAAGTCCTAATCTTTCTGGCTTGCAGGTCATTTGACTTCAGTAGGGCCCCACAGGGATAAATTTTACTTGCAGAATTAACATCCATAGAATTGCTGTAAATAGAAGAACAAAATGTTTTGCTTCCGAGGACACCATATAACTAAATACATTAGCCTATCTGGGGAAATTAGGATTTGCTGTGTTAAATGGCTTCTTTAATCATCATCTTGTATATCACTGGTTTAGCTTCTGTTTTAAAGCAAAGATTCTCATCCCCCTGAGTTTGCAGGTCCCCAGAGTGTCCAGGATTTGTTTATTTCCAGAGACAAACTACCTTCAGCACAGATTTTTATCTGCCACCACACCAGAAGCTGGCAAGCAGCCAGGCAAGGCTGGGACAAGAAGGGAGTTCCCAAAAGGAAACAGACACAAAACTTGCACTGTCAAAAAGGTTGTCTCCATTTTGTCACTGGAAGAGAGGATTAATAAACCCTAGCCCCTCACAAAACAGTCATCAAAATAAATCTATTTGTGCATGAAGCACTCCAATACTACAGCACATTCTATCAAAGTCTACAAAAAAAAATCCAGATCTGACAGAGTTTGGACACTATCTGATAAACAGGGACTGGGAAAAACAGCTTTTAAAAATAGTTACTGAAGAGTTTCAGCATTTGCTGACCACTGGGCCATTTGTGCTACGTGACAGAACATTGCAGACTTCTCAGAGGCTCATTTGACAAGCAGAGCAACTCAGTTTTGCAGAAATGGTAAACTGCCTTTTTAAAAGATTTTTTTTTTTAATCTTTCAGGCACTGTTTAGTGCTGGATTTGAGTTATTTGGTTTTAGTAGTAGTGTTGTCCCCCCAGTATTATCCCTAAAACCTCTGTTAATAGAATAATAAGAGGCCACTGTATTTCATACATGCAGGCTCATTCAAGATGTAGCTCTTGCCTGCAGAGTACACAGTCAACACACACAAAGATCTTAAAATACATAAAAACACTTGAGCATTTGCACCTTACAGTCTTCTTGAGTATGTACCAATTAAACACCTGGGAAGAAAATACAATCTCCTTGAGACAGTAAGACCTGGATATTACTTTCATTTCTCCATTTTTACTCACTCCTCTCTCCCATGCTATTGATGTTAGTCGAAAGCAAATGAATGAGAACAGAGTGGTGAGATACTCTGTGAACAAGGGAGTAGACTTTAAACAAACTGAAAGGTCTCTATTCATTAATCTAGGCAATTTAAAGCAAGCTGCAGATAAGTCATTTTGTCTTGGAAACCATCATGTATAAATAATTTTCCAAAACAACAAGAACAATTTTGTGTATATAGTTTGGTGACATCTGTAATTTATATGACCAGCATGAATAAAACCAGCTTTTGGCTTAAATTTGAATGTCTGGACTGTGGATTTTTTCAAGATACAACAAAAATAGGCTTGCCTTCTTTTTGTCAGTCTCAAGTCTGAACTACAAGCAGTAACAGACACTTCTAAAGCAACAGACTTCTTCAGCTCACATCAACTACTGTGTGCCTTCTCATTCCAACCTGCTGTCACAATCTTAATACAAACAAAGTGAGTGCTACCCTATGCTCTCGACCATCTAATCTTCATGAGAATTACTGTAAAAAAGGTCCAGACAGGGCACATGAATCTATCTTCAATCTCCTTCCTCCCCACTTCTCATACAACAGAATACTTCAAGGCATTTGAAGTCTTGAACAATATATTTCTTGTGACCAAATAGTACTGTGGATCAGGTTTTCACACAACAGCTTCTACTGTTATTTTAAAACATGCTTTTGTAAGGAGTAGGTTTAACAGATAATTGAAAGGCATATTACTTCAAATCGGTTCACTGCTTTAAAGGAACACTGGAGTCTTTAGTTGTTTTCTGCAAGATAAATGTATACAGCCCAGGCCTCCTAAAAAGAAGTGAGTTTTATCCTTGTGTCACTATAAGAACAGAGTTCTCATTTACATGAGACAAGAGAAAAATGACATTGAAAGGGATGCCTCAGATACTGCCAGAAGAAATGGAACATTTACCGTTAAGTGCCTTTACTGTGCTTGTGCTTTCACTGTGTTTTGCAGCAGCAAAACATGCAGTGTGTTGCTGCATCGCTGTAGCAGTTCTAGTTAAACATAAAACCTGACAGTTACCTTCTACCATAGTTTTTATTTATATTTATAGCTATTAATTGGTAGCGCTTCATTCCACAGTTTACCAAGCAGACCTTCAATTTACTTGTTTCTTCTATGGACTAAGAATTGTCTCCTCCATCTGAGGAGGGATGGGGATACAAAGGATACTCAGAAGGATCTGAGTAACCCGGAGACCTGCACAAGAGCCTGGACTCTGATTCTTCTCATCTTTGTTTACACTCCATACAAAAGACAAAAGCAAACAAGCTGAAGTAGTGGTAGCAGTGTCCTAGCAAATAAAACTGTTGCAAGAAAGGTGACATGAAAGAAAAGGAAACCTCTGTGTTCCCTGGGAAGAAAACTACCAAAAACTCCAGAACAACTGAAACGCTCATCTTCCAGCCGAGAACCATCGTTCAGGTTTCGGCAGCTTGGAAGGAAGTGCGGGTTCGCGCGGGCAGCCGCGGCGGCGTTGGACAAGGCTTTCCGGCCGCGGGGTGCCCCCTGCACGCCGGGCAGGGCTTTCCCTTTCCCTTTCCCTTTC